AATGAATTCGCGGACACATAATACAGACATATCCATGAATGGGATAGTGGTTCAGGACATCAAGACATGCTCCTTCAAGATGATAAGTAGTTCTGAATTATAACTGCGAAGTTCATAGTTGGCTGCAGTGGTTCTGTAGAATCCAAGTAATGAACTTAAGGTTAGGAAATCAGCAGCGAATGTGAAATATAAAATACTTAAGTTGGTCGTACATGAACCTATGATGTTGAAACTGAACTTCTAACAAAAAATTCAAAAGTTGCATTACCTATTTGGTGAGGACTTCTGTGTAGACAATATTCTTTGTGTATGTCTTGCTTGCACTGATATTCTTATTCTTATTCTTGTTTTTCTTCTCCTCCTTTGTGTATGTGTCACTTGTACTGATCTTCTTATTCTTCTCCTTGTTCTCATCATGTGTACCTGTTAGTACCTTTATGTTTGCTGTCGTGGTCGCTCTAGAAAGTGCAACATATAGTTGACCATGTGAGAATACCGGTTCAGGCAAGTAGACGCCGACATTTGCTATTGTCTGACCTTGTGATTTGTTTATTGTCATTGCAAAACTGAGCCTGATTGGAAATTGTTTCCTCTTGAAACTAAATGGGAACATGTCGTCGTCAGAGGGGCATAATGGTATCCGAGGCAAGAAAACTCGCATTCCAGAGTGCTGCCCTACCACAATCTCTGCATCAATTGCATTTTTCTGAAACCCACGTACGAGCAACCTTGTGCCATTGCATAGTCCATTAGCGGGGTCAATATTCCTGAGTAGTATGATTGGACAATTTATTCTGAGCTTTAGCATATGTGGAGGCAATCCATTTGGGGTGAGTGTGTTTAGGAATTTTGGTGGATAGTAGTTATGTGGGTCGTCTTCTACAGAATCGAAGCTGTGGTACACCATCTCCTCCCCTTGGAAGCGATCAATCATTTTTAGGTTGATTTTGTCTACGCAGTCGTTTCTTGTCGATAAAATTGCCCTTGACGTGATGTATTTTGGATCTTTTAGGGAAGCAGGTTGGTAGATACTGTCAATCAGTCTATCAAGGCCATTATCATCCGCCTTATTTGGCACACATATACTTGTTGGTAGAAGTATTTCACCATCATCATTTGTCTCCTCATTTCCATTCCCAACGCGTAGTAGGTATTCTGTGAACCATGGGTCGTTTGGAGCTCTCATGTTGCGCACAAGCTTCAATTGATGCATGCAATTCCAGAGCTCGGACCTGCGTAGTGATGCATCTACTATCTGGGCTCTTGTTCCCTTTCGGACAATAGGGAGCACTTGCCTAAAATCTCCACCAAACACAACCGTTTTTCCATCGAATGGAAGATCTGGTTTGTCCATTATGTCTCGCATGCTTTTGTCTAGTGCCTCCACTGTCTGCCTCTTAGTCATAGATGCTTCGTCCCAGATTATTAATGATGCTGCTTGGAGTAGCTTGGTTGTCCCACTTTGTTTTGTGAACCCACAAATATCTCCATCGTCTATTCTTAATGGAATCTTGAACCTCGAGTGTGCGGTCCTCCCTCCAGGCATTATGGAAGCAGCAACACCTGAAGTGGCCGTTGCCACAACAATCTTGCCTTGTCCGCGTATTGTGGCCAAAAGAGCCCTGTATAGAAAAGTTTTTCCCGTGCCTCCCGGTCCATCGACAAAGAATATGCCTCCTCTTTGGCAGTTAACTGTAGCTAGGATTTTATCATAGGCTTTCCTCTGCTCGTTGTTTAGGTTCTTATGCAAAGATGCGTCCTCAGGATCTAACTCAATTGAGGTCTCCTCTATGATCTCCTTAGGTACATCATTTGTTGTGCCATGTTGTTTGTCAATCTTTGGAAGAGGAAACGATTCTATGTCTTTTCCCATTGAGTGCAAGATGTCACTAATATTTTTCAGCACCATCTGTTCAACCGTGTGCTTGCATTTGCAATTTATATTGTAGTCTTCTGACATTGCCTCGAGGTGATTGTTCCAAAGGCTACGGACGTCATTGGGCATGCAAAACACCAGGATTGTCTTGAATAGCCTTCGTAGCGATGAGGACACTTGGAACAACTCTGCTTCTGTCATGGAGTCATCCAGTGTGTTGTCTGCCTCAATGAGCCCCCTTTTTTTTTGCAGCTTCACGGAAGGTTGGCATTACTTGTCCATCAATTGTTCGTAGGCCTTCATAGCTGGTGGCGCCTGTCACATGGTTTAGGAGAACCCGAAGATAGTATCGTTCTCCTTCAGCCGGGTGTGCTGAGATGATCCTGCCAACCTGGGACAGAGCGGCTCGTTTCCTCTCTTGCCAAAACTTCCCTCGTCTTTGCCAAGTATAATATTCCGGAAAGTCCCTGTATAGTATGCCTCGTGCTTTCACATGTAAGTTGTTTGCTTCAAAGTATGTTGTCAACATTGATTTTTTGGTGCCATCACGGTCGATAATATTTTTTATTTTTTCCTTGCCATGATATGAAACCATGTGCATATTTGGGAGATGTAGGTGCAACTGCAATACTGATGGGTGTATTTTGCTTAGTTCGAAGCCATATATTCTCCACAATGCTTCTGTAGGTGTCACCCACCGTGCGTCTCTGTATTGTCGAATCTCGTCAATTTCCACTTCGTCTACTTTGTTAGTTACTAATGCTCGATCATGACCCTTGTACATGAACTTGAATAGGTACTTAACGGCTTTAATGCTTGAACATATCTCAACATTTATGTGGCAGTTGAGCATCCTTAATAGATAGGGATTGTAAGGAACCACCCACCTATTGTCGAGTTTCCTATTTCGGACAATTTCGGTACTGCCGTTATTGCGTCTCCTATAGAGCGGGTAGCAGTCCTTGCCTTGAATTGTAGTTTCACTAAATGGCCTTGGATAATTATTCTTGCATGATGGACGATTTTTTGTGCATGGAAATTTTTTATTCAATGCACCACAAGGACCATGTATCATATGTTTGATTACCATTTTGTATAGGTCTGGGTACTTGTGCTTGTTAGGGAGCTCGGCAGAGATGATTCTGTCATACTGTTCCGGACATGTGTACTTGTATTTTCTGGTCATGGTGAGCCAAAAATGAGCATGGGGTAATGCCCACTTTTGGAACTCTATGACATATGTATATGCCTTAACCTTTCCAAGAATGGTCTTCTCAAATAGTTGCTTTTTCATTTCTTCCAACTTCGCCCTGAAAACACGAACGACAATATCTAGGCGATCTTGTGGTGTTTGTCCAGATTGTAGTTCACGTGTGATCTCTTCCCATCTGGGGTTGCAGGTCATTGAGAGGAATATGTCTGGCTTTCCATATTTTCTAACTAAAGCCATAGCATCTTGATACCGGCGAAGTTTATCTCGTGGCCCTCCAATAAATGACGAGGCAAGTACTGCCCGTTTTCCAACTGCATTTCCCTTTTGTTCTCCAGCTTGAATATTGTCTACAAGGTCTTGGTATAGATCTGCCCTTATTTCCTTTTGATGATGCCATAGGTAATCTAGTCTGGAGTTTTCAATCTTGATATATGTATCTACAGCAAACTGTTGGAAAAGCCGTCCGCCGTGCAATATTGGGTTGAATATGTTTGGTCGTGTATGGAATTTATAACAGTAGTATTCTCTCATGGTTACCCAGAGGCCATTCACTGGATCTGTGCAAATAATGCAACATAAAAATTAGTTGGATACGTAGAAGTATATGATATATGAAAGTTGAATTTTGAAGGGAACAATGTACGGAATTTTTACATGTGTCATCGTCATTGTTGATATTATTAGCACCAACATCTTCCTCGGGTGCATCCTTCTTTGGGATTTTCCTATGCCAACCCAGTTCAGCTCTTGGAAAGAATAGAGGATACGACAATGGATCATAGCACCCATAATATGATCTAATGTGCTTGGTTTCGTTGTTATTCCCATGTAGTAGTATTACATTCTTGTCATAAGTATTTCTTTTTTCATTTCCTTCAACCGACACTGAAGCTACCTCTGAAGTGACGGGTGCACTGTATGTTCTCTGGTCCAATCTTTGGTCAAGGTTCAAGATGACTCTGTAGTCCTGAAGGTTTTGGACTTGTCCCAAACTCCTAAACTGATGAGAGTATGGGTTATCGCGTAGAATGTCCGTTATTATTCTGATCACATGCTTGTCTTGCTTGTACATTTCCTCGCGACAATGGCGGTATCGATGCTCTAAGTTTGGATCATCATCGTAGAAGTATAGCTCCAGATGCTTTGGATTTGACCTAATATCACCAAATGAGTGTATATTGTGATAGATCTGACCATGAGCTCGAAAGGTGTAAATACCAGTTGTTCGCATGTCAGTTGTGTCTCTATCAAGATGGCAGTATAGACTAGTAAATGAGAAGTGTCCATTGAAAAATCTTATGTTGTTTCGAAAATGTCTTGAATTAGAGTCGTTGCTTGTCCAAAGTCTCACGAGTTCAGGTGGTGTATCTGGATTGGCTAGTCTTATCTGTCCTTTATTGCAGCATAACCCCTTCGATTCATACATAAATTTTTTTGCATTACAGAAGCTGCAATTTTGTACCATTTTGAGCATGTGTGTGATCTTTGGTATGTTGCTATAGACGAAATCATACGGATCAAGGTTGTAAAATTCCTGGTCTTCTCAAGTTTTGATTTCCACTTCTCTATCCCATTCTGGTTTGATTTATCGCATCAAGAAATTAGTAGTGGAGTAATATAATGATGCAAATATGGTTAGATTGTATTGAGCATACCTTCGCCGGAGAACATGTATTCTTCCTCGTCTGTGTCTTCTTCAAATATGACTTCATCATTACCTGTGTAGTAAACTTTTATTATATATATTTTTCTCTGACTTGCATGAGAATATATATGAAATTGGTAACCTTACCATGATCTTGATGGTAGATTGATTGTGTTGGTGCATCTACTTCTTTGATGGTTGCTTCTTGCTCACATATGACTTCATCATTACATGTGTAGTAAGTTCTGACTATTATATATATAATTTTAGTATTGCATAAAAGTATATATGAAATTTATGAACCTACCGTGATCCTCATTGTAGAATGATTGTATTCGTGCATCCACTTCTTTGATTGTTGGAAACAATGAAGAGGGGATGTCTGGCCACAAAGCCACCTTACTATTATCATCACTGTAGAGTGTTTGTGTTGGTGCATCCACTTCTGTGGTGCATGGAAACATTGAAGAAGGGTTGTCTATCCACAAAAGATGGTTAGTTGTATAGACAAATGTATATTTATTTGGAATGCGGATATTATATAAAATTAAGAGTATTACCGTAAATCATGACTTCTGACTCCTCTAGAGGTCCTATGTCATCTTTGCTGGTTGCCGGCATGGATCCGTCTTCTTGTGATGTTACAGAAACCATTTTCATCTGTCTTGTCGTGAATTCTTCATTACAATAGTGTAGCGATGTTTGCCTTTTTCCTGGCGTCACATGCTTTCTGTGTTTTACAGGAAACGTAGAAGTACTAACTTCCTGTTCGGTTGCGATATATGCAGGGTTCTCCATCGCAATTGAATATTTGGAGCGGTTCAACTCACGGTTAGCTCTAATTTGTTCTATTCTAGCTTTCTTCTGTTCTGGCCTCATAGTTGCATATTGTGATCTTTTTTTTTGTCTTTACATCTGGCTTCTTCCTTGAATCTTTATTTGTTTTGCTTCGTTGATAGGCTTCACGACGTTTTTTCCGTTTTTCTTGTTTTTCTTCATCGTTCATTCTTGCATACCGCTCTCTATCTCTTTTTCTTCTTTGTTCAGTGGCATCCATCGATCCAAATGACTTGTCTGCATAGAGTTTGTATAATGTAAACATTACACCCGGAAGGCTTTTCTCATATACAAATTAACATCTATTGCTCTTCGGATTTTAATTGTCTGGAAATTCCAAATTGCTGACAATAAATTTAATTTGTACATGGCGGGATCATATTGTTAATGACGATGTGAAACAGTGAAAGGACGTCGTATGGAAAGAGATAACGAGCATACCTTATGCAAATTTAACTTGTTAAGCACCTTAATCGAAGCAAAGCTTGCTAGCAGAAAGGCAACGGTACAAATGTGCATGGGAGTTTGTATAATGTAAGTAGTAAACCTCCCCGCAAAAAAAAAGTAGTAAACCTGATTGGCTTTTCTTCACTGTATATACAAACTAACAGCTATTCCTCATCGGATTTTACTTGTCCGGAAATTCCAAATTGATGATGATAAATTTCATTTGTACATGGCAGGATTATACTATTCATATGGATGGGGAAGGAGGTCGTATGAAAAGAGATAACGAACGTACCTTACACAAATCTACTCCCTCCGTTCCGAATTACTTGTCGCAAGTATGGATGTATCTAGATGTATTTTAGTTTTAGATTCATCCATTTCTGAGACAAGTAATTTGGAACGGAGGGAGTACTTGTTAAGCACCTTAATCAAATCGAAGCTAGCTATTTGAAAGGCGGCGTACAAAAGCGACTTCTAGCACAAAGCCGACGTACAAAGCTAGCTAAGCCAGCGGAAGCCGTTTGTATTTGTAGCAGAGCACCACGTGTACGTTTAGCTAATTTAGAATTTGTACTCTTGCTAACTAAAGCCATGGGAAACCGTGTGTGTATGTAGCTAACTAGAATTTGAACTCGTGTAAGTAGGTGACTAAATAATTAGGATTCTGATTCCTATTTTTGTAACAAATGTGTACACTTTTGTGGTTCGAATGCTGAGATGGATAAGACTGAGAAGAGATAGAGATGTGTAATATATTTTTTGTGATTTATTTTTAAGAATGAAAGTTTGAGCATGCACTACCTTTACTAAATACTCTCTCCGTTCAGAATTACTCGTCGCACAAATGGATGTATCTAGACGTTCTAGATACATCCATTTGTGCGACGAGTAATTCCGAACGGAGGAAGTATGAACTTTTTATGAAATTGCTCGCGTGCCATGGTCTGTGTCTGATACATGTATGACAAGTGCGGGTATATGCTCAGAGGAACACATTCACAGTAGAATTGTCTGGTGTACCTCCTAGCTAAGTACAATTATGGCTTATTTTTAAAAATAAAATTATGAGCATGCACTGCCTTTAGAAAATAGGTATCCTTTAATGATGGCATCAGACACAAGAAATTTTGGCGTTGTAGACTAACTGCACGGGTGTAATGCCAGAAAAGACCACATGCAAGCGCACCAAAACCACCGTTTATTTATACCTCAACCTGGAGATGGATGTCGTTCCAGAAATAAATTACGTGTCACAATATTTCGAGATAATATCCGTCACCATCAACATATCATCAATGTTGTGTCAGGAGAGTCCACCTATTATCGTATGAACATAAATATTAGCCATGGAAATTTATTTCTGCTAACAGATTATAAACATGAACATAAATATTAGCCACGGATATTTATTTCTGCTAACAAATTCATAAACATAAAATATGTATGTATGAACTCGTCACCTAAAAATGGAGAGCAAATATCGACATACAATATCTTCAACTGCGTCATCTCCTCTTTGTTTGCTGCTAAAATGATCCAAAATACCTAATTATATACATCATTAAGTAAATTAGAAGTTAAAATACATGTATAAAACTAAGATGATCGCGAGATAAAAAATTACTACCTATGGTTTCCTAACTCTACTACCTAGGTGGTCTAAACATAGCACACGAAATAACAGTGCATTTAATCATGCAAACTCCGATTATAGTACTCCCTCCATTTTTAGGCTGCTCCGAATGGACAGGTGCTTAGATGGGGTGCTAAGCATATTAAATAGCTTAGCAACCAACCTCCCCAATGCATTGGTGAGTTTGCTTCATTTAAATGTTTTGCCTAGGTTCACGTGCTTAGCGTTGTTGGTTCTTCCTGGGGTCATCAAACCCATCTCTCTCCTCTTAATTGCCTTGCCACATCATATTTTTCATCTACATGGCATGCTTAGCACCGGTACAAGGTGGAGCATTGGGAGGGGCCTTATATACAAGCCACAAACTCAAATTACAGGTACCAGGATAAAAATTAATGTGTGCTTTACAAGGCAATTTGTTTTCTCAGTTACCGGGTTAATTAATAGAGTGCATGCACATTGGAGGAAACTGGGTGGCCGTGAGGGAGGAAGTAGGTGAGCATGTCATTATCATCCGCTACATGCATGCTAGTAATTAAATCATGAGTTACTAGTACGAGAAACGTCATTAATATTTGCCTTGTTTACTGTTGGTGGCCTTGTATAGATGCAAAATGTGTTTTTCATAGTGGCCTTGTATACAAAAATGGAGGGAGTACTATTTTTTTTCTTAATTAAGCACATCTTGCATGCCAAAATAAAATAACGCAGTTGAAGGACCTTACACTGATCTACAATATCTACAAATACTTGTTGTGAAAACTCCTCGTCTAAACCTTCATAAACTTTAAACAAAACTATTAATTACAACTTAATGATAATACTAACAACATCGTGCATGTGAAAGAAGATACCACCGCTGGACAGTGCTAATATTGGTCAACAACATTTTGAACTACATCTTCTCGAAATTCCTACTATAAGTGCAACATATCTCCTCCGGTGACATATCTAAAATTTCAGTAATAAAACATGGCATAGCTAATTACGAGCTCCATAACCAACTAATTTATATCATGCATGTACAATATATTGGATAGCTCATACCTTGATGTTCAACTTCTTAGTTTACTTCTCACTGACAGATCCTACTCCAAGTACTTCAAATGGCTCCCCAAAATAATCAACTAATGCCTGCAACAGCAGAGGATACATAATTAGGGGCTAGTCAAACAGACAAAAAATAGCATGCATGCAAACAAAAAACACAAAAATGGATAGATCTTACCTTGATCCATCTTTTCTTCAACTACAACATCTTCTGAATCGGCCTTCAAATCGATCAAAATCGCAGCCAAAGTGACTATTTTCTTCAATGGCACATATGCTAACAGAGAAAGGAAACAAAGTTGAGAGAGAGCAAACGAGAGAGAGAGAGACCGAGGAAATGTGTGAGTGTGCTGCCGGAAGCGAACCATTTATAATCGAATAAAGGCAGGCACATGCGCTGTCGGCACAACCAGACAACACTTAGAGCATCTACACACGGATTGGGCAAATCCGACCGGACGGGCCCCATCCGCGGATAATAACCGGGCACACCTTATATTTCGTTTTACACACTCGCGTCCTTCATATCCTAAACTTCAAAACCATGCAATTCATGCAACGCTACGTAAAACACATGATCATATCGCAGTTCATCAGATTAGCGGGACAAAAGAAACATGATACTCCCTCCGTTTTTATTTAGTCCGCGTATTAGCTTTGGGCAAAGTCAAGCTTTCTAAACTTTAACAAAGTTTATAAACAAAAATATTAACATATACAATTAGAAATCGATTTCATTAGATTCATTGTTGGATGTACTTTCATGTCATGTAGATTTGTTATGGTAAATGTTTATATTTTTCTATAAACTTGGTCAAACTTTGTGAAGTTTGACTTCAGTCAAACCTAATATGCAGAGTAAATAAAAACGGAGGGAATACATTGGAATTCAACGGCGGATAGTGCAAATCCATACTACAAACATAGATAAAATATAAACAGAACGAGGAAGGTGGAGGAAATCACAATTTCCTCGCCGGCCCCTTCCCTTTCCGGCCGTCGGCGCGGTTGTGCCCCTCCTCCGTGTAGGCATCGGCGTGTGGAGGCGCGTCGCCGTCGGAGCTGGAGGTGGAGCCGTACCTGGAAGAGCGGAGCGGAGTGGCCGGAGCTGCGCGCCGGGCAGGAAGGGCCGGCGACGTCGCCGGTGCTGCGTCGACGGGCGCGGGGCGCTAACGAAGTGGATCCGCCGTTGTCGGATCCGCCTTGGTCGATGACCGAACGCCTCAAGGCGATGCGGAGGGCGACCTCCTCCACATCGTCGGGGTCCGCTTCGCGCAGCAGGCTAGACAAGTCGTCGTCGGAGCCAGGGTCCCCACCGGAGGCAGCGTTGCTTCGGTCGCCGGCCATCGAAAGTGGAGTGGACGGAGATGGGAGTGGAGTGGAGTTCAGATTGACTGCCGCCTAGGGTTTTCAGGACGACGATATTTGTGAGGTAGGCGTGGGCTAGGCTGGGCCAAGTCGACGTGGCGGGCACGCCTGGACCGCCCCATATCCGCCTCATATTTAGGCTGGATATGAGGGGTGCCGGTCAGCCCGACATTTGAGGGAGGTTTGAGAGACCCGTTTAGGTCCAAAATTCGTGACTGGTCAGTGACTGGGCGGCCTGCCCGGACGTATGAGACAGGTATGAGAGGTCCGGTTGAAGATGCTCTTACCAACCAACACCCGCAGTGTACTGTCACGTCGCGCACAACAACAACCCATGCATGGCGTCTCCACGTGGCTCCCCCTTCCATTACCCATATCCTTGCCTCGCTCCAAATCATGTAGATACAATGGCTGCCGCCACCTGTGGTGGCACGTGACACGTGTTGCCTGCCAGGCCCGCCGTCGCGGTAATTTTGGCAATTACACTTGCAGGTGGTCTTTTCTAGCAATAAATTCACAGCGGATGATCTATACGCAAAAA